TAGGAAGGCTCGAACTATACTTGTTTGGTTTATAACTACTAAGAGTAATTTAAAGTGGGTAAAGTAGACTAGAATCGTAAAAACAATATTATATTGTTATAGTCTCTTCTCCATTGCTTGATAATGTCCAGAAGCTTGGCAGGCACTTCTATATTTATATTCTGCATCCTAGTGTTCTCAGACTCCATGTATCTATAATACAATTTCTATATCTCTTTAGTTATAACTTATAATGTAGGGTATTCTTCACCGGTGCAAACACCTGAAGACTCTGAAAACCAACACAACCTCTTCGGTAATTACTATTTTGCTGATTACGGAATGTGCTGTTCCCAATAGTAATTATCCGATCTTTAGAGTCACTGGACTTATGGCCCAGTTCTCAAATCGAACTAAGTTGTCCCCAATTGTCTTCCTTCATAAATAAAATGATCAGTTTCATCTGTGGGTTGTATCCGCAGAGGTAGTCATAATATCAACCTTCCAAGCTTGCCAACCTTTAACCTTCTTAACTCCAGTTTCAACCAACAGATATCTTCCATATAACATCCTGTTACTTTAGAGGTAGTAATTTTACCAGACCAACAAATAATCCCTCAGTCAGCAACCCTTGATTGCTCTGAGTAACAGGGTATCAGTTACTATTTCAGTATTGGGAATTATTTTCTCAACTATGACAAATTCCTGGTCCCAGTTGTAACACTCTGTAATATCCATTGGCTTCCATGACAGTGTTTCTCAGAGTTTTACACTCTTTTAGTTATTGTAGAGTGAGTGCAAATGCATTAGTCTTTCATAGAGATTCTTTGACATTCGATACTATATCTTTTTGCGAAAACGTCCAGTTACCTGCGGCCTTTGTCGAAGATGTCACATCTTAGTAGCTCTCTGACTAGTTGACCGATTCACTCCGGTCCACTTCCCAGACTTAGCCGAGGGTTCCATTACATATACCCTGTAAACAGGATCTGGTCAGATAAATGGCAGCAATGTATATAGTACTATTCTTGCACCTTCAACTCTGTGGTATTATAGTCGGAGCGCCCTAGCTTGTTCACAACTACAGATTACATCCAGCCGTTTAG